CACCAAGGTGGGAGGAAAATAAGCAGCTTATTAAAGCGACTGGGCTGGAGACACAGAGAAAAAGCAGCAGCAGCTTTTTCTTCGCTATCCTCCCGAGAAATCTGTGGATAATATGTTGCAGAGGAAAAACATTTTGCTTACCGCCCCTTAAAAACAGGCTTAACTGGGGAAAACCAAAAGGCACGGGAGAGAGAGAGAGAGAGATAAAACGCCGCTGCTGACGGCAGCCGACTCAGCGGAGGCGCGCTGGACAGAACTGGGTTGGCGTCTTTATCGTGTTATTTAACCTAACATGTGACATTTGGTGGAAGCTTTGATTCGCACAGACCTAAAATATCATCTGGGTGTTTTTCAGTTTTAGAGCTGTAGAGGGAAAGAAACCACAGATTTTGTTCTGTTAATGTAAATACAAGATACAAAATGTGAAATCACTACAATACAAACAATCAAGTCAATGCCAAACACGATCAGACTTCAATCTCTTGAAATCACTGACAAATATAAAGCGTGGAAGGCTGTTTTTATGCTTTTTTTTAACGTAAATGCTAATATCAGGATGCTAACATGTTTGTTCGCCATATTCGGCATTTCAAGTGTCTTGTATCCAGATTACATTTAATACTTTCACTCAAGCGTAGCTAAATATATGCGTCGCCATCGGCCGGATCCATCATGGTTTACCAAGGCTACAGGCGGATGTCTCTCAGCTACACAAATCATTGATCTGTTGATGTGATCAGGAATCAGATAAACGCTACAACAAGTGTATGCACCCTCTGTATGAAATCGCTAGGGCCATTTTTTCCTGTCATTTCAATAAGACTGGGACAAAACTGGCTGATTTCAGTGTGATTTTAGTGTGTTTTTTAGTCCAGCTTTCAGCTTTCAGTTTTCAGCGTCCAGCTTTCAGCTTTCAGCTGTTATGAGGTTTCAGAGACAGATTCATGCTCGCTACATCCATGGCCGTGAGGTTCTGCCTGACGTAAACTACTGTGCAAAACTTTAAATGTTTAGAAGTTTTCTGAATTCTTTCTGCAGCATGACAACGACCCGAAAACATACAGCCAGAGTCATGAAGAACTTTCTTCAGAGACGAGGAGAACAAGATGCAACAGGTGCTTGACTTCTTGCTGGTGTGAGGATGCCGTCATGTTATATTAGTAAAATATTTGTAATTTAAATTTGTAATCTAAATGGGATAGTAAATGTACTGCTCTTACATAGCCACATGCACACACACATTTATGCAGTGCTTATTTACCATACAGGCAACTTGGGTTGAGTATCTTGCGCAAGGACACTTCCAAATGCGGACTGGAGTCGACCGAGTTTATTTTAAGAGTGGTTCCCCCTAAATTTAAACACAATCTTTAATCTATAAATCTGTGCAACAAATTGAGGCATTAAGAATTTAAGTATCTATCACATTATTTGACTGTCGCAGGTTCTGCGCATTGTACTGGGATTACTGAGACATGAGTCCGGTCGTATATTATAAGTTCATATTCATGACTCTGCATAGTGCCAGGAGTCTGCAAGTTCTACATGCTCTTCGAGTCGTGTGCTGGAAGCAGTGGGTGGTAAAAACTGATTAAGATGCTTTTTTTTTTTTTTTTTTAAGTGTATAATGAATAGAATAGTGTTGCTTCGCCACAAATGGGTATTTTATCACCTCCCACCTCACATGTGCCCGGCTCACAGAACGGCTCTGAACTCGGGAAAGCTAAACCGTGTGGCTTCAAAGATAGTGGCACACGCAGACAAGGTTCCTTATCACCAGGTTATCACAAAGTCATACTCTCTCATCCCGGAGGAAGAGGCGAGAGAGAGAGAGAGAGAGAGCGACGGGAGGAGACGGGGCGAGAGAAGAGGAGGGGATGGGAGGGAGAAAAAAAAAAGAAAAAAAAAGTCAAACTGTCTGGCCTTTTCTTGACGATCCCACCACGATGTCTGTCTGAAAAATGAATCTGCTGTCATCTTTAGATAGGAATCTCACACTTATCTGTCTCCACCCACTTCTCCCTCCCCCTCATCATTCCCTCTTTCACTTGAAATCCCTCTCTCTTCCTTTTTCTACTTTTCCCTTTTTGAAAAAATCCACTCCTCTTCATGTAACTGTACTTCCTGTCCTGATATTTACAGTATCTCTCTGCCTTTTTTTTTCTTAGATGGTCTTTCTCTCTCTGTTGAAGCCATTATCCCTCCCCCCCATCTGACCATGTATCCTCTATCTGTATCCCTCCATCGGTCTGTCTAGCACACAGCTCAACACACTGACACACACAAACACACACAATCACACACACTCACATGCAGACAGCTCAATAGGGGCCTCACACACACCTATCAAGTTTTCCATTCCTCTGTAAACTGTCATATTGTTATCAGCAGGAGTGTGATGTTTTTTATTTTTTGGGTCTCTTCCCTCGTGGCTTTGGATGTGACACTGTGTGGAACTGCACATCTTATCTACCAAAAATGAACGACACAACCGCAACCCTTTATAACCGGGATCGTCGTCGATATCTGAGCATCTGTAATGCAATTTGAATTTCTTTTATCTACCGGTGATAAAAGAAAACCACAAATGTGTGATGGGATTGGAGTCTGTGTTTTTGTCTGTGACCATTGTAATGGAAGGTTATTGTTCCTGTTGTTTCTGTTCCTCTGCAGGTTGATTTTAAGGTTTATAGAAAAATTAGACCCAAGAGAAACTCTTAAAATGTATTTTCCTTCAAATGAATCACTTGTTTACACTTATTTCCAGAGTTCTTCATAACAGTAGTGACCACAACAAAGTGAGAGGATCATCACCTCTTTAGTAAGCTGGTTAATTTGTTTCAATGAACGACTTGTTCGTAAGACCCGCAAGACTCAATACTACAGTAAATATGACTTAAGGGGACGGACCTTTTCTCCAGAGCACATTTTGTGATAAGCTGCAACCGGCTTGGCAATAATGAGAGCTACACTGTGGTTAATGCTAATTGAACTATCCTTGGTTTATGGCTGTGTTCAGACTGATATTTGCACTTGGTCAAAAAAGAAAAGAAAAAAGATTACTCTGCTCATTGTTTTCTCAAATAAATCAATTATTATTTTCTGTAAAAAATGTTTGCTGGTTGTAATTTCCCAGAGTCCAAACAGATATATTCTAAATCCTCCTTTTATCCGAGCAACAGCCCAAAACCCAAAAGTGTTCAGTTTGCCATCATATACAACAAAGAAAAGCATCGAATCATCACAACTGAGCAGCTGGAAGTGACGACTTGAAAAACGACTGAAACGATGAATCATTCATCAGAATAAATTTTCTGCTGATCGACTGATCGATTCATCAACACATTGCTGGCAAATAAAATATGAACATTATAACATGAATAACGTAATCAACACATATATATACAGTATACATTTTCTTGTTTTTTTTTACATAAAGCTGTTTCTGAATTCACCAACACTACAGATGCTTCAGTTCATTTGATTAACAAGTTTTGCAAAAATCCGATCTGATGACTGATCTGACGTGTGTGTTGTGCTGGAACGTAACTGAGAACAAAAGAAAATGTTTTCTGCCGCTGAAAATCGTTTGAAGAGAAGATACTTTTGAAACAAGAGTGCACTCATCCTGCAAGAGGAAGACTGCGTGTGAGGAAACACCAGTTAAAAAGGCCAGATGTCGTCAGCTCACCAGGAGGATTAGTGTTTGAGAAAGTTATGAAAAATCAGTGGGAGATTATTGGTGAAACTTTTAAACTCCTTCGACTAGACGTTTTTCCGTAAACAGAAAACATCCCCGGCCTATTTAATAAGAACTATTACCTGCCACTTCAATCATACCCACACCAGCCTGGAGCTGCTATGAGCCATTAACAGTCAGGAAAAATAGGCAGTGGTGACCTGTGGGAAATAGTGAGGATAAGTTGTATGAAAAATAAAAAGGCTGTTGCATCGCTGCTCTTGTGCTGTTGTGCTGTCTCTTTCCCTCCCTGTCTCCACCTGGCTACAGTCGCTCTCCCTCTGTGTTCGTCTGATAAAAACAGACGTTGAATGTCAGAAATTATCTCCGCAGCAGTGATAAATCAGCTGCTATAAATTTCTCTGAACAGAAACGATTTAAAATACATATCGGAAAACACTTTACTTTCACACAACATGTGTTGGACTTTTAGTAAAAACAACATGACAATTAGGCTTTTCAGCTCCTAAAAAATGGCCATAAATACTTAGTAAATATTGTCCATGGTCTCTGTAGCCACTCTGACACATGCATAGTAAATTATTTACTCTGTACTAATCTCAGCAGAATGTAAAATTAGCATTGTTATTTTTACTATTTATTGTTCCTATTTTTGTATATGTGATCCCTGGAGACTTTTTGATCCATTGTTTAATGGTGCATGTTACTGCACAGCAACAACAACAACAACAACAACAACAACAACAACAACAACAACTGAACTGCACCCAAGTCCAAACAACACCTTTATATGAAAGGCTTATTAAGATTAAAGGCTGTTGTAACGTCGTTTGGCACCGATTTGTGGACGAATTCACGCAAGTAGGATTGAAACTTGATGCTGAATGACTTTTTGGAAGGAACTAATCAAAACTGATGATGAATTACAGTCATTATGTTAAACACAGCATGTTGTTATTAATAGCAGCATTAATAAAGCGGCATCGATTTCACACATCTGGACTGTTCTCAGACTCAGAACAGGATCAAACTGCTTGGTCAGATTAGGTTCATACGCTCATACTAAGATACCAAGAACATGCTGTTGAGCATAACTGCTTTTAATGACGTCCTGCTTAGACACATTTCCTTTATGGCATGTCATTTGTCCATTTGTGGTCAATAAAGCAAAGCTAAAACGTCATGTGAATCCATTCATCCATCTGCTTAATATGAAGCCTGTGTATAAAGGCACAGCTCAGGGAGGAGGATGGAGGGGACAGGGGGTGGGGGGGTGGGGGGGGGAGCAGAGATTGCTTACATGTTTCTCTCCTTCGATCCTCTTGTCAGCCTGTTGAACAGCCTCCAGGTACTTAAAATGCAGCTCCATCAGTCGATCAACCTGGAAACAGAACGAAACGGTGGCAGACAGAGAGAAAGTGAGAGATGCAGCGTCCAAGAAGGTAACGTGAAAATAAGAGAAAGACGAGCACAAAGAAAAGAGTGATTTAATAATACATATGCATTGTGTATTCCCTATATGTGGAACAACATTTCAGCCTTGTTCAAATTATGTTTTCATTTATTTCACATTAATAATTAATGGATTCTTTTTAACTCTTTGCTGCAGAGCGAGTAGACGCAGATTCTTATTTATAGCCACAAACATCCCCATGAAATGAACAGACACGTGCAGGAAGTGGACAATGGAAATAAGACTGTAGGGACGGCAGGCAGTTCCTTCATCAAAACTCATGCGTCCTATTAAAATGGCCTCGAGGAATCCACTGAATACGAGACATTTTCGCGTACGTGAGGGGAGCTGTGGGAGTTGTGGGGAAAAAAATAAAAAATAAAAAATAAAAAATTGCAGCTTGATATTTTAGATATTTTAATCACTTTCTCAAGGTCGGTAACATGTGGCAGGAATCTGTATACACAGGCACAGAGCAGAGCAGTCACTGATGTCTGATTGAGTGACCTGAATGTGAACCTGGGTGGATTTAATCGACCTTGTAAACTCCTGCCTACAGCTTTGGGTAAAAATAAGATTGACAAAAATACTTTTAAAAAATTAAGTCAGCTTAGTGTCTTCTGACGTGTCTGCTTATACAGGGTACCTGGCCTTGATAAGAACGTGCATAAGGAGAATGAGGACTGTTGCAACAGCCACAACTGTTAATGAACACGTACGGTAACGGCATTGTTTCACAATTTAACATGCTCATCTTCTTTACTATCCCTTTTATTGTTACAGTTCAATTAAGGAGACAATGCCATGCAAACGACAGGGCTCTGATCAAGCAAAATTACTAGTATTTACTGCAATTAACAATCTCTACCCTTGTTTAAGATACCTGAAATTAAACACTGATATCTAAATAAATTAAGCTGCACGAGGCTTTAATTCCATCCTAAAACAGCTAATGAGGGTTCTTTATTTGTTAAAGGGCAGTTTGAGAAAGAAACAGCATTAATGTATGTGATATAAAGAAATCACATCAAAGGGTCGTGCGTGAAGAGCATGTAGGGCTTCGACTAACTTTTATTTTTCATTATCGATTAATTTGCCATTTACTTTCTCCATTAATCTATTAATTGTTTAGTCTCTGAAAGACCTAGTGAGAAACACTTTCCCAACGCCCAGAGCCACGTCTTTTTTTTAATCTAATAATTAATCGAAAGCCTTAAAAAATTGCTCATTTACTGTTAATGTGATAAAACAAGAGATTTTAGAAGCAGGAACCAGCAGATATTTGACAACCTGGCTTAAAAAAACCCCAAGACATTAATTCATTATCAAAGTAGTTGCTGGTCACTTTTCTCTCAATCGCTCACGGATCATTGCAACTCTAAAAACATGCAGTGAATCTGCTGTTTAATCAGCATTAAACTAAAAATATATTAAAACAACTCTGTGTGAATATGAATATGAAGGATTTAGATCATGATTGCGGTTTAAAGCTTCTGGAAACCTTGTTTCAAATGTTAAATATTATTCTATAACATCATATTTTCTTGACTAAATAAGTAACAATCTGAAAGTAAAGCCAAAGTTAAAGTTTAGATGGAAACACTCGAAAGGTTATTTAATCAACTCTATGGCTGTGTTCAGATTGTCCACTTGTTCACTCACTCACCCGCTCTTTAGTGTCTGCTACATAGAGGATTCTCTAGGGGATGAGTGCAGACAGCAGATGACACATTTCAGACACAACTTGGATGTTAAAGTGCTCCATAACGAAGCGCCGGATATTCAGAGTTATTATCTCTGTCGCATAAACAGACGCCAGAGGACCTTAAAATACATGTTATCTTACAAGATTTGCAATTTCTACGCATCTTTCATGTATTATGTTTGTTTAACTTTGTGTCTACAGAGCAATCTTTACTGTGTTGTTTTTTCAGATCTGGTCCCGACAGGCGTTTTAATAATAATTTTTAAAGCCCAGCTGTTCAGGCAGAGGACTCGTTCCAGACGTCTGAGGAGTATTAAGTGGATAATAAAATCACATTAGCTAGCAGCTAACGTTAGCACCTAGCCTGTTAGCCAGATGACTTCTTCTGCAGCACTTTCACCAGACAGGCACTGCACAACAATTTTGTAGTGCAGCATATAGTGGATAAAATTTCCAGCTGAAAATTTGAACACTGCCACAAAATGGCTGATGCAACTGTCCGAACATTTTTAAATCACATTCTTATTGGTGCAACAAAGTGAGTGACATCACGCTATTCCAACAGAGCTCCGCCCAACTTCAAACCAGCTAAAGAGAGCACAGAGAAAAACAAAACATACCAAAAAACAGTTATGTGGAATAACCAAAACTGTTCTAACTTTGTCAGAAAATAGTGTATTCATGCATGACCCCATCGCCTGCAGTAGAAAAGCGACAGAGAAAACATCTTTTCAGAGCCTTTAAATTTAGAATTAGTACAGACTTCTGATTCAGAGAGCTGTAGATATTCTGCAACCAAAGCCAATGGATGTCAGACATTTCTCAGCTTACCCCTACTAATGAAGAAATCTGCTGGCGATCAAAAAGAGCAGTTTCAAAGAAAAGGACGAGGACGGAAAGAGGAGTAAGAGGACTAAAGAGGAAAGCAAGAAGACGAAGGAAACTAACCTTCTCACAGTCATTTTCTGTGAACTTGTTGAGGAGTCTGCTTCTCTGTTGGGACTTGAGATTTCTCAGCATGGAGGCGATGATGGAGCAGACGTGTTCTAAGGAGAGCAAAGTGATAAGTTAAAACTAAAGCATCCTCATTTACATCAACAAGACAGCATCTAAAAGATTCTCCCATAGTCAAGTTTTCTCAAATGGGATCTTTATACACATTGATTATTACTTTACAGAATAAATTTTACAACTGCTTCTCCCTGCTCACTCTCTTAGACAAACACAGACAGTACGCAAGCCTCCGACATGATAGCACTTCATTAAAGAGCTCATTGTGTTTACAGTAAACTGGCTTCGCAATCCAACAGGTGCGATGTGCTTTAACTAACACGTGAGCTACCATAATGCTCCGCAGTTAAAATAGCCTCAAACTGATGACTGCAAAGCTCATTCACACCCACATCCACATCCACAGCCCTCGGAAAGAACAAATCGATTAGCACTTGATAATTTGCAATTATAGCACACAGCCAGCTAAGCATGGATACTCTTACAGAGGGCGCGCAGAACAAGAGGAGAAGAAAATCTTAATGAAATTAAGAAATCAATTTTCATTTTAGGGCGTGCTAGAACATATGTAATGGTTTTGGCTGTGGCTGAATTACATTTCTCGGGGTGACAGAAATCTGTCTGTGGCAGCTCCGGGGCCATTTAACGAGGTGAAGGTCTAAAAACATGTTAATTGACTAAATTAGCTACAAAAACGAGTTAGTCCCATTGAGTGCCCTTGTCGACCAATTCATGCTACGAGAGACGCAATATCCTATTCACAGACCAGGCTGCACCCGTGGGTGACAAGCATAGTATAATATTTCTCTACGATATTGAATGAATAATACACTGTAAACACAAGGGGGGGGGGGGTATGACATTGTAAAAATCTCTAGATATACAGAGTGAAGAAAAAAAAATGTAATTGGACTTTATCAACAAGAGGTCAATATTCTCTCTCAACGAGGCTTTGCAGTTGCTAAGCAACAAGAGTACAGGAATCAATCCCATTTCTGCTTTTTAAAAGGGGTCGTGTTTGCTGTCAGCTCCCTTTGTGCGATCCCTTACGGCCCACAGCATCCTTACCCACAAGACACTGAGAAAACTAAAGGCTGCAACACTCGAGCTCATGTCAAATCTCTCACAATATACACATATCCATCTGCATTACCAATATGGTTGGTGGCACAAAAAGGCAGGAAAATGTTTTTGAAATAGAAGATAAAGCTAAATGGCGGTGTGTTCTTTCAGTACAGTAGTGGGACAATAGGAAATATGTCCCACCTGCTTTGGGATTTCTGTTTATTACTGTCATATCTGAGCATGAAGCCCTCAAGTGGAACAAAGAGTTGTTGATTTGAAACACTCCTGCAATTATTATTATTATAGATATAAGTCCTTGTAGATGTGGTTTTAAATCTTTAGATTACTATAAACTATATTTTGCAACAACTAGAGTTTTGAAAACAGCATCGTAAGTTACTATTTATTAGGAGGTGAAGGGCTTTTTAAGCAGCAAAGATGTTAAAATTTACCAAATAACATGAAAGCTGTTCCTTAATTTACACATTAAAGGGGCTTTAATTTTTTAATTAAGGAGAATATTTTGGAGATTGCTTTCATGTTATTTGGTACAATTTAAGGGCTCCATGGTTGGTCATTTCCTCTTGGTCCAGACTGAAATATCTAATATATTATTTTATTCGTGGGCATGACATTTCCTGGTTTCCTTGTCGTCTAGCAACGCCAAACAGGTTGACATTTTTGGTTTTTAGGGAAATCGCCATGAAATTTTGCACAAACATTCATGGCCCCCTCAGGTTGAACTATAATAACCTTTGTTTTTTTTTTACTTTTTAACTACTGACATTCCCATCAGCCTCAGCTGTGTTTTGTTTTGAGTACTAATCAGCAAATATTAGCATGCTAACACATTAAAATAAGGTGAGCACGATAAACATCATACCTGCTAAACATCACCATGTACTCCTTACAATTTACTTCAGAGTTTCAGAAATGTAGGTATTTTTAAGGGGTTTAGTTTTCACCCTTCTCCAATTAAAAGACAAATTAGGACTAAAATAACTCCTTGATTTAGATGAAGGTGTGTGATGTGTTTTCTGGTGTAAATTGAGGATTTATTAAGGGATTTACTTCATAGTGCGTCACAGTAAAATTCCCTCCATACCTCTGTGGTATGACAGGTATTACACATGGTCGACCCTGCGTGCTCTTGTTGTACATCAGTTAGGGGTCTAGCCCAAGGTTCCTTCATTTTCATGTAGACGACCGTGTTTCCTGTACATAATGACATGGAGGCTAAGTGCTGTTTCCAAAAGGACACCACTTTATCAACCTGATCCAAGTGGTAATTGATGTCGCCACCTCCACGCCCTGCCCAGGAGGATATTGATCGCTGGCTGTGGAACGTTCTCTCCAAAGAGTTTACAACCAAACACCGACCGCTGCGTGGAGATTTGTGAAGGGGTGGAGGTGGGATTACATTGTGGGTACAAGATGGAGGGCAAGGCTTGGAAAAAATTGCTTCCTCATTTGTCCTCAAAAAGGTAACAAATCAATAGTTAATTTACATGCTTAGCTTTACACTTGAATATCAAGAGTAAAAACAAGGACCAAACAAGAAATCAAGGAAAGAGCCACAACAAAACAGTAATAATAAAGATTTTACAAGTGTCAAACTGCCATGTAGTATGTGGGAAGCTACCACCATCATTGAACATTGAATACATATGGCATGATGCTCATGACAGCAAAGAAACCTCCTGTTGTTTGTGTCAACGGTTGCCATGACAATCACATTAACACAGGCCTCCTTAGGAGCCAATGTATTAATTAATGAAGATGACTGTGGCATTTATATAGACCTTTGTAGAGTTTCTTCTACAAACACAAAGCTCAGCATTTACTGCACAGACCCACAGTGTTACGCAGATGACACACAGTTTTACTTATCAGTTACACCAGAACTTTTAGTTCCAGGTACTTTTCTTCAGCAACTAAAAGGTTCCTGTGGCCCATTGTTGTCTGCGTTTCCACTGTGGCCTAAAGTCCCGGGAAGATTATGCAAAATTATTACTTGACATTACATTATTTATTATTATTATTATTATTATTTACTATAGCTTTTCTGCCCGTGTCCGTGTCTGAATGCTGTTCAAACTTTGTAGCATTTTAATGGCGTGTGTTTGATCAGTTTTCCTACATTTAGCACAACAATGTCCATCACTTTCCAAGAGGAGAACCATATGAGGAACTAAACCTGTGTTTTGAGCGGAGGAGCCAAGGACTAAATTTAGTTCCTCTACGATAGTTCCAGGTGGTAAAAAAAAAAGTGGTAGCTTTCTGATAGTCCAGGAACTACAGTGTCATTGATTGGTTAAACACAAGATGCCACAGCAACCACAACTCCTGTCCCGCTTCATGTGACAAGTATTGATATTGCAAGGGATGGACAATTCTTGATGTATATCAACATTAAAAACAAAATAAGGTTTTTGTTGTCGGCTTCCTGACTCATCTAAAAAAAAAAAAAAGAAGAAGAAGAAAGAGAGTGCACACAAGCAAGCTGAGAACATGAGCGAACATGAGTCGAGAGAACTAGCGAAGGAATGCGTTTGTGTTTTAAAAGGAATGTCACTTTTTTTAAATCGTCATCTGTCTAATTTGCCTGATCTTCACAGACCTTGAGTTCGGTTCACTAAATGAAGCACAACAATTCTGTACAAAGCATATAATCCTACATTTTCACACATTCCTTTAGGTTACAGCTTTTATCAAAATTTCTCATGAAACATACAGCATATTGCAATTTAGTTCCACCTTGAGATATGTCCCGCACACATGAAAAGGTTTGAGTTATTAACTTTTCTCGTGCTACTGAGTGTAGTGAATGTCATCTCAATGTAGAGTATGTCACTTCCTCGACAGAATATTAAATGTTTCGAAATCTTTCATATACATCTAAATATACCACGGCATATTTCTTATCAAAGTACGAGTTTACAGAGATGGAACATGATCAATGATCCCACCAGAGGAACGACCAAACGTGAGGAAGATGTTAATTAGATGCGTCTTTACACAAGGATCTAACAGCAAATCTCTCCCACTGAAATACACTAATAATAGGATTACACAGCACGACTCTGACAAAACAGATTACAATCAAACTTGTATCATGTAAAATGTCACTAATCTCAATCTGTGCCAAAGGGGCTGGCTGCTGGCAGGGGAGATGATTAAATGAGACTCTTATTTGATTCTCTGCTTTTGACTGAAATATGTGATGAAACTTTCATCATTAAAACACCGATAACCAAGTTTCTCTATTACAGGCACTTATCTAGTCTCATATATTCTGCTACGTCGTCATGCTTTCTAAATCTCCATTTGTTAATATCAGAGAGGAGATACTGGTGATAAAGTAATGGGCTGATAAAAGTCCACGTTTTTATCTTTGTCATGAAACTGCCATAATTTGCCGGGTAAAATGTTTTAATAAACGCATCCTATTTCTATCAAATGGCCTGTTCCATCTTTTCCCCCTCACTGTGTACACTTTATATAACTGCTATGTGCTTGTGCTAAAAGTCTTGAAATGGTTCAGCTACAACTTTAACTAAATCCAGAGAATCTGACCACATTACAACAATTTTAGCTTCCCCTCATCGGCTTTCTATCCATCACACTTTACACTACTTCTAATGACATAAAAAAATTTTTAAAAAATCCTTCATACCTGTGTGATCTTTTTAAACCTTATATTCTATGCTCTTTGCTCTCAGAATATCTGCTCCTATCTGTCCCCAGGGTTAAAAAAATAAAAAATAAAAGAAGTCAGCAGACTGCAGGGCCTTTTGCTATCGAGCCCCCTACCACTGGAGCAACCTCCATGCTGACATCACACTGTCTGACTCCATTAAATCCGAACTTAAAACTCATCTTTACGCCGTAACTTTCAGTTAGTGGCTCATTTTTTTTTTGTTTATTTCAGTTTCCATTCTCCCTCCAGTGCACGGGTCTCAAGTCTCAGTGAATCCATTTAACCTAGTATGTATAGTATCGTCCAAGGGTAAAACTTGATGTGCTTGGTTTTGTCTCTTGTATGTTTGTGTAGTCTGTCGTCTTCCCGGGTCTTCATGGTGGAGATGAGGTCGTGTGGTTCAGGTTGGTGGCACCCGGAAGATGCTCGGTGTAGATGACGGTGATTTATGATATCGGGTAATATAAATAAACTCTGACATGAACTACAAGGGGCCACAAAACACTCAAAGGCGTTTGTGTGTGGCATTCAAAGCATATCAAGTACAAAGACGTCTGCTCCCTCCCTCAGCCTCTCCCTCGTGCACCTTCTCTCTACCAAACAAACACCCACGTGCACACGAGCACACAAAGAAACACTTTCCCCGGGTTGGAGCTGGAGACGGCGCTACGACTATTGTGCCTCGCCATGTAAATTAGTTGTTTACTTCTGTTCCCTTCTCACACTCACTCGCATCATTAGCCATCTAAATATAACAACCGGCTGCCACCAGTTTCCATCATACAATCTCATTTCACTGGTAATGACAGAGTACATACGCCAATAAACTGAGACCCTAAAAACAAGGTGAATGGTGGCGTCGTGACAACAATATTCATGAGCAGAGAAATGTAATTTGTTGCTTTTATTATCTTTTTTTTTTTTTTTCCTTTTTGTTTCAGCATTTTTTTTTTCTTCTATCCCACTCACAATGTCTCTATTAATTATGTGGTTCTGTATGCTAATGCAGCCTGGCAATCCCTGGTCATTTGGACTGTTTCAATTGCAGAAAGGATTTTACGGGGATCAATCTTTGCACCAAGGTTTATGATAGAGAGAGCAGCGAAATGAACGTGTGTGTGAGAGAGAGAGAGAGAGAGAGAGAGCACGAAGGATAAGAGGACAGAGAGGTCCCTACCTCCTAATTACTTTTGTTTGAAGCAGCTGATAGTTAATTAATCTACTGTGTTATTGTGTTATTCTGGAGAACCACTTGATTCACTACATTTTCAATTAGTAGCCTTAGTGAGAAGGAGGGTTCACTCAATACACCTTATATTATGACAGGCATCTCATTATGCCTATAGCTGGTCCACAAATCAATGGAGCCATTCTGGACTGGCACAGGCTGAAACTCTCAGCAGACAGAACGGCTACATGCATGTGCATTTTTATCTTGTTAAAGCTGTTAACTTAAATAGTTGAATACAGGCACAAAAAGGCACATTTATTTGTATAGCACATTATCATATACATAGGTCATTCAATGTGCTTAACAGAAATAAAAGAAGCATAAAAAAGAGATGTAAAAGTTTAAAAAGTGTATATAAAACAGGTAAAATCTAATTAAAGTTGAAGGTTCACTTATTAAATGTAGGCAGTGGAATATAAAGCACAAGTTGCAGTTTAAACAGGTTTAATCTCCAATGGGAGGCTGGTTCCAGCAGTCGGCAGCGTAGCGGCTTAAAGGTATTTGATCCTGTTTAGTTTTAACTCTAGGCTTCACTAACTGACCAGCCCCTGCAGATCTTAGGGATCTATTAGGCTTATATACATTCAGCATTTCAGAAATATATTTAGGGCCCAGATCATTTAGTGACTTGTAGACAAGTAAAACAAAAATAAGAAGAATACAGACTACTATAGACTAATCCAGGGGTTTTCAAAGTGTGGGAAAGTGAGGCTCTCACCTTTGTAGGAGCATATTACTCCCTTGACAATGCGCCCTTAAAATAACAGTGAAATACTGCGACGCTGACTTCAGACCAGGTTTGGTCCAGACCTGATCAAACACTTCAACCAACACACCCATGTGCGCTCAGACGGGCACAAGTGTATTCGTTATTTAAACTAGTGTGTGTACTGGATGGGAAAAAATCAACTGTAAGAGTCTGAAAACTAGCAAAAGGCACTTGCCTTGCGCTTTGCCCCGGGCGTAAGATAGAGCGCTGCATCTTTGAAGCGTATAGGTGGTTGATGTGGGGATGCACTGTAGAAAGGAATAAAAGGTAGATCGTACTTCCTCCCGTTTCCTGCTCGCCCCAGACTCTCTTTCCTCTCTAACTGTAGTTACTAAAAATTGATCAGTTTTGCCACATGCATAGCGGAGTTTAGCTAACCAGATGTTTATGTATTTTCTTCAAGTTTCTTTTAAGAATATAAACCAATCTGTCGGCTGATTTATGTGTTGTACTCTCCCAGCACACACAGTCCAGCTGAAAGTGATAAGAGGTTGAACTGATCACAATTACTCTCTTTTTTTGGGTTGTTTTTTATTTTTTTCTCTGTGATTATGTTAGTACAGGTATATCCACAGGTGGGTTTATAGGAGAGTGCGCGCATGCATTTTTGTGTTTTTACAAATAAATAATGGTAGTATGTGAATTACTAGGTGTTTTCAGCGCAATGATTTTCATCATCACTTACATCATCATATCCTGGATCTCTAGATTCTGCTTTGGTTGAGAAATATGCGGAAATCTAGATCACACTTGCCAAACTTCACAGGGAGAAGGAACCTGCAGGGTGGATTTCCACATCTTTTTTTTTTTTTTGAAAGTGACTTTTACGTGTGTGTCTGCCATGCCCCGGGGCTCCAACACGAAGAGGGGAAAGGTTCAACTGTTACGACAGGTTATCTTTCCCTACTCTTCCTCCTGCTGCTCGTGGAGTTCAAAGGTTAATTCACCCAGTCCCAGGGTGAGGCGGGACGCAAAGGAAGACAGTTTGTTCTTCCTCTGCAGGGCTGGGGGGCCCCCACTGGACGTATCAAACTTAATTAACACAGACAGAGAGAGAGGAGGGGTTTCACATTTTGGACATAGGTAATCAAACAAAGAGCAGAGATGGACAGGGTTTCTACCTCTTTTTCTATCAGTCTCTTCTCTCTTTTGTTCTCTCTCACTTTGCAACACACGAGCATCCAATCTTCCTATCTCTCTCTCTCTCTCATCTCTCTTTCTCTCTCTCTCTCTCTCTCTCGTTTGCGCTTCCTATCTCTCACTCAGAGACAAGAGAGGTTTGAGAGCACAGGCAGGAAAATCAATCAAGACTAGATTGATAGAGTAAACTGACAGGACGAAGAGGCAGCAAACCGTGATACATGAGCAGATTAGGATTGAGAGCGTCTGCAGGAAACGGGTGTGACTACACGGAGAGAAAAACTAGAGGCAGGAGAAGAAAAAAAAAACGTCTCCATGGTGATTAGCACGATAACGTAAATGAATGCAGTCAGCGACGTGCAGATTTTTTCCCTGACAAATAACAAAAACTTATGACAGCTCAAGTAGTATGAGATAAAAATGACTCTAGATTACATGCATATCATTTTCCTGTGAGGTAGGCAATCTAAATTCAGACTCCACCACACCCAATGAAAACTACTATACAGTAGAGATATAGTCATTTTTATTGGTAGTGGCAGAGTCTGCCACCAATCTAAGTACATTGGATGCCATTGCAAGAAAAATGTCGACCATAAATATCTTCAAAAATTGGGTTTGACTGCATGAAAAATCTGAACCTTTTGGAGATCAATATAAGCAACATAAGATAATACAAATTAAAATGTGCATTGCAGTAAAACAATAACAAATGAAAAGGGAACTAAACTCCCCGAAGCTTGAATGGACACAAGATAACGAGTTAACAGACTGATCAAGTTAATTACTGGGGTTCCTGCGACCTTCCACTCGTACTTATCGTCCAGTGTTTTTACTCTGTGCATCCTGCTCAGCTTAATGTGCAAGCAGTTGCATAGGAAAGCCAACGCTCACAGCAGTGAAATCATATTCTGCCTATTGAAAATACTCTCAGCTCTTGTTCACCACCTGAACACATTTGTCCTGTCCTGAACATAGGCTGTTGCAGGATTTCACAGTTCTCAGTGAAAGAAGACTATTCCTGGTGCTAGAACTACTCCACAATCCAGGACGTGAGGGAAATCTGGAAATAAACCACGTCTACATAATTTATTCATTGTATCTGTGGAATCTATTATCACACAGAACAACTGGTATCATTTTTCCCCCAGCGGGTTGGTTTCCATTGGTTTGTTTCCTTTATCTGTTTGCTGCACCATTTCATAACGACGTATCTCACCACATCTTTCATTGGTCGACACGACGAGTCTCACTACTGTAACAGGTCAAATCAGGGCGGCAGCTGACTGCAGCCTTTTTGAAGAAACTTATTAGTGACTGACCTTCATGCTCCTTCTCAGAAGCGCCAGTTTTCTTCATCTTCTTGGGGGTTTTCATGAAAAGCGGGAAGATGGTCCGCAAGCCCAGGATGTCCACAAACTTATGGCAGTTATCTGCTCCCTCTGGTCCAATCATCCCGTGGTCCAGGACCTTCAGAGCACTGGTTCGAGACATTTTCTTTTCTCTGCAGCAAAGAGAGGAAACCATGCTGAGGACACAGATACTGTTGTTTCAGTAGATATAAAAGGAAAAGCGCACGTCAAATGAAGGAGCGGTGACCACAGTTGAGAAAGCTGCAATAAACCTTCTGAGCAAAGTGGAAGTTAGACCATGTTATTTTTATATATTTATTTTTACATTATATCAACTAAAAAATGAATAAAAATAGGCTGCAGATTTTTAAAATTTCACCTTTGACGTCAATATAATGGATGGAACAAACATGGTATTTTACAGTTATGCAGCTACAAACAACATTTGGTCAGTACTACAGACAGACTTAATCTTTATAACGCTGAAATTTTAATACATCACAAAAATTAACTTAAATAAAAAAACCCACTTAAAATAAACTTCATATTCTGTTCAGCATATAATTATCATATACTTTACTAATTTGCATTTTCTCTTTCTTATTCTATGATTTTATCTGAAATTTTTGTGACAGCGACTTCTAAAGTTCAGTAGTTTTTTTTTTAATTCCTCTCACTCCCACGGCTGCCTCTGTGTCTTTATGCAGGAAGTACCAGCTGGGCTAATATTCATTTATCTAGCATCTGTGTCACGGTCGCAACCCCCCGTCTTGAACTGCTGCTTTGATGACATTTTGTCGGCAGCTGTACTATTAATATTTTGGAGTTGTTTCAGGTCGTCTAACACTGACACTGTTACATTTCTTTATTTTGTTTGTTAGCTTGTTAGTGTGAAAATGTAACATTTTGTGAGTGAATACTGTCCACAAACGGAGCAGAAAGAGTAGCTTCGTATTGCGATGTAATGGTGTTGATTATGCTAATGATCAAAACCTTATAAACACAAACCCGCTCGTGAACAAGCGACATTTATCATGTTGAAATGAGTGATTTACATTAGTTTGGTTTGTGCAAATAAAACAGTTCGGTGAATGCAAAGTGGAACAGTGGCACAAAGAAACCTTCAGTTTAGTTTAGGAGTACAAAACTGTGTGAGGTCCGTCGAGAGTCGACACCCACCTCACTTTTTTCTAAAGCAGCCAAAGGCAAAGAAAATTGCCCAAATGTTCTTTTACCCACAGCAATGAACATTATTCTCATCATGAGCCGCATGATGTTTTCAAACTAAATCATGGAGACTAAAAAAATACACACGTTTAAATATGATAAAACAAGCAGACAAATTACTCTGATAATTGACTAAACAAATTAAATTGCATCTGTTTTTCACCGAGGCATTGCCATGACGAGCAGAACCAACTGTTTCCTGCTGTTTCCACCCCCCCCCCCTTCCCCACTTCACACCTCCTCTTAAGAAATGTAGCCGTCTGTCACGGTGTCACTTCCTCCGCTCCCACCAATGACAGATGACAGTGTTTATCTCTGAGGAGGGACACATATTTCAGGCAGTTGAGTCTGGTCCTCCAGACAGACACATTATATATGATGGACGGCGAGCGAGGCCGGGGGGTGGGGGGGCGGGGGGGAAGCTGTACTCAGTGTACTTTCCGAGGGGAAACTAGGCAGTTCAATTGGTAGACAGCTGACTTAACTCAACATCCTGCTGTTGTCACCCCAAAATGGATCGTGGGTCGATGTTAGTGGGTGCTTCAATGACAGCAGCAGGTTTTTGATTAGACTCATATTCGAGGTGAGGCTGGGTCACACAAAGACGGGCCCTGGTTGAAGTTTATAAATCTACGTACGCCGTAAACGAAAGGGCAACATCCCCTTAAAAGGTAGAGGAGCTGTGCATTCGAAAATGTTCAGGATACTTTAAATAACATGAAATCATTCGATTATTTTCTTAAGCACTGGTGTTGTACTCACTACGGACGAAGTCTATGGTTCGTGGTACATCTCAGTTTCGGCTGCAGAGTCTGACAAACATTTAGCTGTGCCATGAATTCATCAAGAAGCCAGATGTGAAATCTGTATGTGGTGCAGAGCTGCATACAGACAAGGAGGTCTGGTAGGAATTGAAATGGAGTTTTTGATGGAAAACCAATAAATATGTCTCGGTGAAAGAAGATGATTTTTTTTTTTTTTTTTTCCCTTTTGTATCTTGTTGCTCAATGTGTTTGTTATTTTTGCAGCTGCATTGTGTCTCGGTTAGAAAGCAAGAGCCAATCTCTCCTCAAAATTATAATGAAACTCCTCAAAGACTCACAAGTTTGATGTTTTGAAAATTATTTTAACACGTTTGCGACACAGGGCTGCTGCTGTCACATTATTTCTGCCTTTTGGAGAGTTTTCATTGCAAGTTTTATTTGTTTATTGATATACAAATATCACTCTATTCAATTTTGCATTCGATTGTGTTTTTGTATATTTTACATCTTATTTCACACCGTCTTCCCTTCTGACTTCAGATGTGTTGAACTGCTGTCTGTAAGTCACAAACCTGCTTTATCGACCAGGTCTAACATGGAAAATGGAAAATTGAAAAAATTAAAAAAATTAAAATAAATAAAGTCAACACAGCATGTGATCTGAAGTGATCAGGGACTATTTAAAAAAAAATTCTGATTTTTTTGGCCTAAAAGTTATTCAAAATGCATCTTAAATCTGAGAAAGGTTAGAGGTCAACCCAGAGGACTCTTGCATTTTGTAACAATAGAATGATAATACATTTCTAAAACCATATTTTGATGGTGGTCATTTAATAAGGACTCAGTTGGCTCACTAACAAATCAAACAGATGACGACGTCAGCCTCAGCCGTCTGTCAGAATTCATCATCAAACCAAAGTGCACATTAAACAATCACCAACTGTGATGAATAGATAAATAAAAGAAGACTGGTTGTGAATATGGCCCCTGGTATTTAAACTTGTGTGATCTACATGTAGACTCCATGTAACTACATATCAGGGCTACAGCAGCTACCGTCGTCAACATGTCGAGATCATAAAACAAGCTGCGATTGGTTCATTTGTGCTGCTTTGTGTTTTTATCCCGCAGGTTTCTGATGCCGGTGGAGATGTGTTGATGTTAAATATTCAAATAGAAATTATTATGGATGAAGGCTGTTGGATTTTCTTCAATAAAAACGATATCTTGATTGATTAAGGATTGAACATCAATAGGTTCATTTTCAGTAACTGGTAGAAAAGGCCAAGTGTAATGACAGAAAATAGTGTTAACGTGACAATAACATAGGGGTATATGACTAATGCATGATGATGGCCTGATAATGTTGGACTGATCCATCCGATGTCGCAGCGGTGGGGTCAACATGATGGGCTGACTGTTAAAAACACAAGTATAAATCCACCTGTGTTCATCATTATTTCCAATCATGTACTGTACCGACAATCAAATTCACAATTAGCTTCTCCGTGGGGACTTTAACAACTTTTCCAAAGTCATATCTTGCTCAGCTCTTTCTCCCCCTCCCTCTCCGTCTTATTCTTTCTCCGCTCCTCTGGTGGATGATTTAACACAAAAGGGTTTTTTTGCATTCCAATAATGAGATATTGATCCAAGCCTTAAATCTACGTGTCCAGTGATGTGATTATCAGCGCAGAGGTGCAGAAGCTGTGGAGGTTTCATAAATGCGTCTAATGTGTCTTTACGAGTCTTTAAGGTCACGTCTCTGCCTTGCTGCGCTCCAGCAACTGTTGATTGATTGGACCGGCAGCCTCGCCAGGCAACAGAGCAGACGGACGTGCTGTTCTGTGCAGTGCTACACCCTGTTATGCTATGAGTGTTTAAATTTTCACAGGGGAAAAAAAAAAAAAAAAAAGACTGTACATCAAGAGACGCTCTGTGCAGGTCTCAGCACCGTATATTTTCCTTTTAAAGAATTTTTTTTATAGCGCCAAAGCACTTATTGCCCATTTGTTATGAAGTCCACCGTACTGTACTGTAGCACTCCAGTATATCGTGAGAGGTGAATATAACTGGGGATATACTTCATACTTCATACATAATGCATCTGTGCTTCTGAAGATTGTGACGAATTCCTAGCAAATGTCCAGCAGCATAGGTAATTTTAATTGATTAATGCTTGATCGAAAAAACCGCCTGTGCACCGAAGAGTTTTGTAATTTTGTTTAAATTTGAAAGCTGCCTGCAACACAGAGGTTTCCGTTTAGCATCTGTCTCTTAAAACCTCTGAAGTCGGAGCTTCCCTCAAGCTCGCAAACACACTTTTCAAAACAAATGAAAAAAAACAGAAGAAATTCTCTCCCACACTTCCCTGCTCCCTCATAAATTTTATTTTTTATTTTTTTAGATAACGGGGACTCTTCTTCTGAGCCAAGAGTTAGTTGTTCTGACAAGAAATGAAATTACAACTTTCCAAATATAAGCAAAATAGTCCACATCTGTCTTTCCATATTTTAAATACATCAGCTGGACTGCAGTAACTTATCCACCGAGGGAAGTGGTTTAACGAAGTCGGCTGTAGTTTTCAGAAACAGAAAATTTTGTATTCTGATTCCTGCATTAGCCGGGACAGCGAACGTGACCAGGGAGAGGGAGGGGAGTGGTTTGCCTTCAAGTCTCATGCTAGCCCTAGCTTGACTTCCAGAACCTGCATATTGAAGCTTTAACATGTGATCTTAAACAACACAAAAGACCCACGCAGCACATTGAAAGGTCAGCTAACACTCACTCCTTCTGCTAGCTTAACCAAGCCCAGCAAAAGCTTCTATTAGCAAGTCATCAAACCAAACCTCAACCTCATGGTGGCAGCTGACATCATCAGGTCACCAGAGTTAGCAGGTGTCATCCTCTGGGCGCCATGAATATCTGTATAAAATCTCATGGCAATACATCCAATAGTTGTTGACACACTTCAATCCGGACCGACTGACCGACGGGAGACAAATCATCACTGCCATATAAAGCAGTGATGGCATTTTTAATTTTTTTTTTATAGTCCGCAGTCTCACCTAAGCATGAGGTTCATTAGCTGAAGCCCTTCCCCTCTGAGGAAGCGGTCCCGATTGCTGGCCAGCATGAGGCAGGAACACAGAGCGTCGAAGAGGTTCTCCATCATCTCCTGCTCCTCGGCTGTGGACGGGTTGTGACGTTTGAACACCTGAAAGGAGGGGAGGCAGCAAGAGAGACAGGACTTTCACTTTTACACGAGAAAAATGATTCTTCAACACAGCAACCATTTCTGAAAAAAAAAACTTTTTTTGGAATAATTTGAGAATGTGGGCAAAATGAGCCTCTTTTTTCTTTTCTTTTTTTTAAAATAATGAGCAGGAACGAGCCGAGTGTGACACGATTAGACAGGTTTATACTATAATTAAGAGAACAGAAGGAGACAGGGTGGGAAAATGCCAACAGTCTCTACTAAAATGTTAGTAAATGGAAGCTTTAGTAGCTCATTTGGTGGGTTATAAGCTATAATTTGAATGCCCTATTTTGGCCACAAAATGTCACAGGATGCTCAGAACCACCTGAAAATTTAACTATGGAGTTAAAGTATGGGTTAATTGAAAGGCTTAAAAAATTGTGTTAGAAAATTTGCTGGAGCCACAGGTTGGAGCACCACCACAAAGCATATTGTTAAATTACTGAGATTTACCCAAGTGAGGCTCAATTGAACGATGGGTTAATACGAAGGGTAGTAGTAGAGCTAACTAAAAATAGAAAGTAAAAGCAAAATCTTACAGATAGTTGCTGTAGTAGCACATCAATGCCATCCATCTCACCCAGTAGTTCTCTGGTATCTGTGGAAAAGAGATGCAGAAAGGCTGAGAGATAAAAATGGCAGAACAGGACAACAGGGAGATTAAATTGAGACGTGAGAGACTGAGAAAAAAAAAATGTTTAAGTGGATGGATGAAGGAAAGAGAAAAAGGAAAAGGCAAAAGGCAAAGGAGGAAAAAACAGTAATGTGCTACAGAGGCAGAAAACGAGCATAAACACTGACGAACACTCTGGCCACGAGGGACCTCTGGAGAGAAAATGAAGAAAAATGAGGGCAGTGAAAAATGTATATCCTCACACGTTATTCCATCTAGACCTGTGTATTAAAACGTTGTTAAGGTTACGCAACACAATTCTGCTTCTCAGTGACTCCGAATTGGAAGTGAGGGCCAACTGTCTTAATCTCAACAGCCAGAAATCCTGAAACTTCACATCAGGAAAAAAAGGGGGGGGGCGGGGGGACCAGAGTATATATTGTGCTTCTGCATTTCTTACTTTCTGTAAGACAGTGAAGTGTTCATAACTCTGAGCACACTTTGATTTGAACAGTATGCTGAATCTACAGGGTCTTAATTAGTAGGGATGAGATGCTCCTCCTGTCTGCAGCAGCGACTATTTTACATATAAACCCTTCAGAGTGGTGTTTCAAGTCAAACTTGACGGTGGGAAGCGATAGCAATACGTTCAAATTAGCACATCAAAATAATTCCCAATTGCCATTTTCCTAATAGTAGCCTTGTGATTTGCCTTCAAGACAGTGACAGTACTATATGGAACGTTATTTATGGCAGCACGTTTCCTTTGTGTTGCGAGAAATACGTTTTTATTAGATTTTATTTTGTATGTGAAGGGCAGGAAGGAGAGGATGAATGGAGGCAGCGACGCTGACGAGGAGGAGAATGAGTGTAAAACGAGACACGACTCCCACTGAATATCAATACGGTTTGTACCATTAATGAGAACCTGTCGAAGGACCTGATAGTCCTGCAGCTATCTGAGGCTTTACAGGGTTTAAGTGAGGGGGGGAAAGAGGGGAGAAGACAGCAGCTAGACAAGGAGGGAGGAGCGGTGAGATCGGGGGATTGGAAGAGGAGTAGGGGAAAGAAAACAAGGAAACATGAAAGGTGATGGAGAAAAATAAGGGGGGAAAAAAAACAAAAAACAAAAAGGAAAGGGCACAGGAAGTGAAAGAAAGGACAGTGCCAGGGGAGGTCATGGACAGAGAGAGAGATTAAGGGACACAAAAATCAAGGAAGAAGAAGGAGGGGAAGGAGAAGGGAAAGAGAGGACAAGAAAAGGCCACGATGAACAAATGTGAAGAAAGAAAGGACAAAGAGAAATAAGGGGACAGCGTGTTGAAGAAATGGCGGTCCGTTCAAGGTACCCAACAAAACCGTTTACGGACAAACTTACTGTCATTGTTTTGCAGCAAGATAGCCAGGATTTCACTGCAGTACAGCTTGTTAGCATCAAACGGCATCTTTGCCTGAGAGGGAGAGGGGAACGAGTGCAAACTCCAATTATCACTCATCTTAAGAAACTCTGTTCTCCAGGGTCCAAACATCACGTATCCTACGACAAAATCTGCATTTCTCTGACCATAAGCGGAGATTATACAAATTATATTGTATATTGTGGGTGATACACAGCAACAGCAACCTCACATCTTTCAACTTCTGGATCTAATGGTCTACTGGTGAACAGGTTTATCTGAAAACCCATTTCATTGCATGTAATTAAGCGTATTACTCAAGCTGCAACTAAAATAACTTTAAAAACACATTCGCATTTTTTCAGTGTAGATCATTTTGTTTGTAAAATTTTGTAGAATTAATTAATTTTTCACTGGTTTTGGATTTTCTCATCACTGACTGAAGTTAAATTAGCCAGCTGGTTAACAGTGGGTTATTTACAGAAATGTTGTCCTGATAAATAAAGAGATGAAATGGAAAAAAGAAATCTTCCGCAAGATATCGTAATAGTGAGCTCAGCATGGGTTAAAATATTTGTAGTTATTTAATTTATTTTTCAGTTTTAGCTCACATATATTACATTTAATTAGTTGTGGAACATCAAGTTTTGCAGGAAAGATAATAGGATCGCTGCAACTTTCTTAATCAGTTCATCTTGAGGTTATTTTCTTGATTAATCGTTTAGTCTCTGTAACATAAAACTATTAAAAAAGCTCATCACAACTTCCCACAGCTCATTGAGATGCTATGAAATGTCTTGTTTTGTCCAACCAACAGTCGAAAACATATAAAATAATTAATTTAGTACAACATTAAGACACAGAAATCAGCATATTTTTACATTCAAGAATCTTAAACAACTCTATATTCTAGTGTATATATATATATATATATACTGTATTTAGTATATACTATATTCTCTTTACTTAAATAATGTCTTAACCAATTAATTAATCAAAATAGTCACATTCTTACCTTAATTCTCTTGAGCAGCCACTGCATGAGTCCCTGCTGGGCGGCCTCGGCACACAGGCCTGGTCTGAATTCCGCCATATTTTCAATGATGGCTGACGAGGACATGCAATATGAAAAGTCAGAATTTATTCTTCAAGCTGTGTCTTAAAAAACCTGCCAGAAAGGACCCCCTACCTAGTTTCTGATAGAGATTAAGTAGGGATGCACCGATCTGAACCACTGGATCAGTACTGATACCGATCTTATTAAGTGGATCAGGAACGCTTTCTTTTTCTCAGTGTTGTTATATATTTCAGTGTTTCCACCCACTACCACTACAGTACAGTCAAAGGCCACTATCAAAGTCCTCTGTCAGTCCCAGGTTAACGTATACTGTACAGATGCTCTGCACACACACTTTGAAGGGAGGGAACAGTGAAATATGGCAGTCATCTTTGTATAGAGTGCTCGTCCGGGTTCTGTCCCAGCGTCTTCTAATATTATCATTAGAAAGCTGTCTCTGCCACATGATATCTCTATCAGAGCAGACTGCAGCAGAAGGTGACACAGAGAGAGAGAGAGAGAGAGGGAGACTGTGGGGTGGCGATAAAAAGAGAGAGCAATGGGGAAACTGAGAGGGAGAAGGGAAGAGGGGAGAAGCAGAAGGGAGGGAAAGGGGCGGGAGGACAAGCCAAAGAAGAGGAATGCAAAGCTGAAGGAATGAGGGACGGGAGGAGCGAGGGAATTAAGAAATATAACAAGAGGGAATTGGGATGGAATAAAAAAAATTAGATTTGGAGAAAAAACAAAAAAACAAAACAAAAGAACAACATCTGCAGAGAGGGGCTGCAGATGATAGAGAAATGTTAAGAAAAAGAAACAGAAGAAAAGATGGAGAGGACTGGTGCTGAGGGAGAGAGAGAGAGAGAGAGAGAGAGAGAGAGAGAGAGAGAGAGAGAGAGAGAGAGAGAGAGAGAGAGAGAGAGAGAGAGAGAGAGAGAGAGAGAGAGAGAGAGAGAGAGAGAGAGAGGAAGGGCCTTTATCAGTGATTCAAACAGAGCAGACAGACAGCATCCTGGAGGACAGCAGGCTCAGAGCAGAGAGCAGCCAAGGCAGACAAAAGGCGTATTCAAGCTTGGAAAGCTCCCTTGATAACACACACACACACAAATACACACACACACACACATGCTTGAATAAAGGATGCACTAGCACGCCTCTTTCGATATAACCCACACTAACGCACAAAGCCAAACACACACACCTAAACAGCCCTCCTGACACTCGGCCTCAATCTGGCAACAAAGAAAAAAATAAATAAAAAATCATCTCAGTAGACTCATTCAACACAAAAAGAGCTGAGAGGCAGAAAAGTCAGATTCATATGAGGCTAAAAACTATCTGCTGGCCCATGACCTTGAGTCTGCATCTAATACTGTCAAATCTCCGCTGCAGACAATGATCATGGCGCTCTGTAACCTGCACGCTTCACTTTTGCGGACTTCACCCGGACTCAGATTAAAAAAAAAACTTCCAATAAGTGTTTTCAAAGCGCTTCCTCTTTGCCAAAACATTTAAATGTGACATTGACAGCTTGTATTCGCTGACACTGAAAAAGTTAAGGACACTTGGCAGCAGGGGGACACACTGATAAAGCTTAAAGAATACAAATAAAGTTTGTCTACGCCCTCTGTAATGTCACACCGGAGTCCGCGAGGACTTCCTGTCACCGCACTGCCCAAAGCTCTAACTCGGGCTCATACACACCTTAAAGGCGCACACACCTCCCTCTGGAAGAGCCTGTCATGTCTCAGAACTAAACAAGACAAGGTTGATCAGTTGTGCTTGCTGCGAATATTCAAATTATATTTTTATCCAAGCCTGTTTTGTTTTTTATCCTGTTCAGTGTAAAACCACAGAGTTGTCTCTGCAGTGAAATTTGTCCCAGATTTCTCACTGATATTTGTTCCACATGTTCTGAATATGAATGAACGCACAAGGCTGCGCAGCCATTGAAAGTCCCTTCACAGTCCAGGTTTTGTTTTGCTGCTGAGAGACACGTACGGTCGCACACTGTGTGTTGTCGACACGATATTGTTGTCGAATTGTTTGAAAAACCACCTCATTTTTTGGGGGAAATTCACATGTTTCCATTTCTCTTTTTCTAAGTTCACAGTTTCAAATTGCGCTTTAAGCAGGTTAATTGAAAAACACCTAGAGGAAATTGCTATAGCTGTTTCTGTCATTCTTTAACTATTTCAGTGAATCCATATATTCCATCTGACAAAGCTGTGGCCTCCGACACTTTACAGTGTCCGGTCGAAGGCTCTGATTGGTCACAAATGAACGGAGCACTGGTAGTTTGGAAACAATGACAGTAATATTTATTTAAGACAAACCGCTGAAAGTGAACTGTGTTGAGTTCATTACGGCTTTACTGCATTTGAATCCAGGATTAAATATGGCACTGCACATACAGTGAATTGCGTTGAGGTCTTTCGGGGATTTAATTATTAATAAATACAACTATGTTAATGTTGATGGCGGTTTTGTCTCAGCATGAACACTTACTGGAAAATGATTATTAAAGCCTGGCTGTACATCTCATCTCCTTACCCAGTGTGTTGTAGATGCCGTCGGCTTCCTCCTTCACCTGTTCATCCAGCCGCTCCATATTCTGCACCAGCAACGCCACCACCTGACCCTCCAACTGCAGACAGAGAGATGAAGTCACATTTTTAACTTCAGTCCTCTTCATAGGTGCAATAAAACCCTCTAAATGTATTCTCATTACCTGAGAAATTTCAGGTTAATGATCAGTGTTCTTCTTCTTGTATTAAAATACAAGAAGAAAATAAGAAACTTCACATGGCATCACACAGCTCAACAACACGTTTCTCCTTCTCACCATAACGTCGAATATGAACTCTGATTGCTGAGGTTGGGTATGTGATTGAGAACACACAACTTTTTTAACACACCATCCTTTCCCGCTGTGTTGGAGATCTGTCAACTGAATCCTCACCTTTATAATTTTGTAACATGATGTGATGTGAACCTGACAAACTCAATTCACAAAGAGGAAAAAAAAAAAAGAGGCACGAGAGGAACATGGCAATGACAAGAGTGAAGGTTCACCCTTAAGCTTCGGCCTTGGCAGAAGAGACACGTCTCCTGTCTGAGCTTCTCTGCACATGTCCAAGTGCTATCAGTCAAGTCAAGACTGGAGACTCATAAACAAACAGCTCGCTGGGTGCTGACTGGCCGGATAAAAGTACAATTACTGATGAAAGGAGATGGACAGTGGACACAGATTTATGAGCCACCGGAGACCGGTGTGGATCATTTTGATTCATCTTATCAAGGGTACCACCTGGCCTTCTGGCAACAAGGACAGAGGAGCTGGAGGCAGTACAGCAAAGAGGAGAGACAAATGGATTCAACCAACCCTGGCTGCCCTGAAACCGTTTCACTTGGATGTTGCTGTACAGAAAGAGAGTGGGGTTTATGGGTGCTCCGCTGCATGGTAAATGAACTGCCTTTATATATAATGCCTTTATCCTTAGAGCGATGCAAAGCCACCTGAGCTACTGTCTCAACCACTGTCACATAACAAGCCAATTCTCACACACACACACACACAGCAGCTTTTCTGTCGAGCGCTTGACATTCGTTCCTGTCAAATTCTAAACAGCCGACAAAAAGAAAAGCTTCACGAGACATTACTCCAATTCCTTTCATACACTGTACATCATAGTGTACCCATAGACTGTCTATCAAGATGGATGTAGCCTCCGTGACATCACCTGTCGCCATCTTGGCAGTGCGTGACTCCGCCTAACTCCTGGCTAATCCAAAAACGAGCGGGGGGGGGGCAGAGACTTCGGTGCATGCAGGTTTGTGGCGAGCATACGCCTCTATGGGGACTGACTCGCTCAAGTGGCCATTTGAAGAACTGCAGTTTTTTTAGCACTTCAGTGTTGGCTTCTTTTTTCAGCCCTGGAGGTCGCCGCTTGAGTGTAACTCAACTGTAATGTCACTGAACTACTGAATTTTCATGTAAAACGTGTAGTCAGGCTGTTCAAACACCCCTGAGACATCAGACGACACAGGTGTGGCGAGAAACAATCACCAACATGCCTGATGAATGCCACCGGGACGTAGCCTGGCACAAAACTTGGCAGGTTCAAGCCAACAGATCGTTTGATGAAGTGTCACAGAGACAGCCGTGAAGGAGCAGAGACACACACTTCTTTCTTCCACTATAGGTATATCAGGACTTCATTGCAGTTTGACCTTTGTGTGTGTCGCTCCAAATGTCAGCAAACATAATGGGGCATCAAAAATCATCCCTGGCTCATTAACAGGCTCAGAGACAAAAAGGAAAAAAAAGAAGAGAGAGAGAGAGAAAGCTAAATATACAGAGAGAGGATGAGACAAAGAGAGATAATGTTAAACACACAGCCACGCAGTGACAAAGAAAAGCTTTAGATAACTCAAAAGAAAAGAGTGTGAGAAAAGATGCTATAATTGTGTGGATGACATTACACATTAAAATGTAGTGTCTTTCCTCTTGACTAAGTTTTTGACACTTTCTGAAATTCAATCTCAAGTTCATTTATTTGCAACACCAACTTACACTGGCGCACAGCTGAAAAGAATTTAAATAAGGTGAATTAATTATCAATAAGTCAAGGCAGAAATAATAAAGCAGTGTGCACATTTGTGCCCCATTTAAATTACACTATGTTTCCAAAGTTAATAAACTATTTGTTTAATATAAACACCAGTAAAAACAAATAATATAGTATCAATATCAATCAATATACAGTATCAGATGCAGACACTGGTCTGAAAGCAGCATCATGATAACAGCTTGTAGTCTGAACTGACATTAACTCAAAACGTTTGCATGTATTTCAGTCGGGGAGAGTGGACTGAAGCCCTGATTTTGTTTCATTAAAAGAGACAAAGGAATCAATCCTCAGCCTGATTTGGATGCCAGAGAACCAGAAACTTCAGTATTGACTCCACAAAGTGCTGTTTCGTCAATATCGTCAAAGACTGATGTAAAATCCTGAACTCACCAGAGCATCTATGAGCACCTCAGCACCCTCCTCGCTCTCGTGGAGTGTGTCGATATCCGTCAGCTCCTGCAGCAGGTCCACCACTGCTATGGCGACATGTGGTTCAGGCTAAGGACGATAAGCTTGTGTTGCTGAGTTCTTGGGAACTGCGTAACAAGTTGGTGTCAGTCTGTGTTCCACGCAACCACAGGGAAAATCAATCAGTGATTTTTGTGTTGTAAATGTTGTTGCTTGTCGCTCATGTTGCACTGTTTTAAGCTTTTTCGTGTATTCATTTTAATTAAAACCAATTTTCTCTTGTCTTTTTCCTTTGTTCAGTTTTTAAATCAACTTTTAATCAAATGTACTAATACATTATTTTTAATAGTTTTAATCTAATATCTGAGCATTTTAATATATCATGATTAAAGTGTGGGGCTGTTAATATTCTATACTTCTCCTATTGTCAACAAATCCCATGAAAAGACAAAAACCAACCATTTGTTATTCTGTCTCTCAATACTTTCTGACCCCCACCACTGTGTCTTAGCTCTCAGTCTCTAGCCCAGTCATTCCCACTAACAACATAATCATTTCAAAACAGGGCACAAGTGTATAGTTTCATTTTCAGGCTCAGTACATTCCAAAAATAACTGGAGACTATTTCCAGTAGCACTTCAGGTGCACTTCCACCTGAGATTGACCAAAAACAAAACAAAAACAAACTGCAGTGTGCAAGTTCAGGTGATGTAATAAAGGAACATGTGCCCTAGTGTAATGGTGCAGCTCACTGATGTGTTTTTTAATGGAGCTCTACGGCGATGAGAAATAAGCTCTATAAGGCTACAGACACAATAATTGTTACTGGGATCAACTCTTTGTTCGTTTTTGGTCTTTTCATGGGATTTGTTGACAAAAAAAAAAAAGAAAAAATATATAATATCCAACAATAAATTCTACATACAGAATGAATGGATCAAAATGGACAAACAGTCTGAAAGGATATCGGTGTTTTCATGGCTGAGGAGGCCCAGCAGCGAGTGGACGGCATTGAGCTCCACCAGCAGGTGGTAGAGATCTGGCATCGTGGCGATCACGTGCATTTCCTGGATGATGTCGTTCAGATCCAGCTCCGACTCCATGAACCTAGTTAAAAAAAATAAATAAATAAAAAACATGTTAGCATTCTGGTTTGCCATCAACTTCAACATGCAGGAATCTGATTATTAGTTTTAGAGATATCATGTCAAGAAACGGAGGTGCTACACAATTGAAAATGAAGCCATCTTTTTGATTGCGCTTCAATTGTGACAGTCTGGATTTGACAAATGAAAAAAGAGATTATCAGATTTTGGGGACAGTGAGGCACACATGGAAAATTTACCTGAAGATGTGTTTAGCCATGAAAAAAAAAATTGTTATAAACTTTGTTGAGTCCACATGAAAATTTGCTTAATTTAACAATTAATCAATTAAAAATATGATTGAAATCGCAATAAGACCAAGTGCAATATCCAAATCGGGAGAGCTGGATTTTTGTGGACAGTTATTATTGTACTTACTTCTCTGGATTGTCTGGAAACTTAATTCTCAGTTCCTGATTTTTGTATGATCTTTTCTCAAAGGTCAGGATCATTTTCTTCACAGAACTCTCGTCCACCGGCTCTGCCTGTTTGATTAGCAGAGAGAGAGAGAGAGAGAGAGAGAGAGAGAGAGAGAAAGAAGGGAGGAACAGATGAAAAAAGGGGAAAAGAAAAATAAGCCTTTTATGTAGGTAACTGCTGCAAAAACAACAAAAAGACACCTGGATTATGGGGCTCAAATTAGGGTCAAAAAGATTTTTGGTTTGTGGTTGTAAATCAACCTTTGTACACCTGTCAAATAAAGGGTTAAAGAGGGCAGCTGGTTTTAATGCAGGTCCGGGTCCTGATGAAGCTGATTCATTATCGTCTAAAAGAAATCATTGTAAGATTTAATGTTGGTCTTTACCAAATACAGATTTTTTTTTTTTTTCTTCAAATATACAAACTCGTGCTAATTTATTTTGCAGGTTTACAAAGGTTGATTTTGCAAACTGCAGAATTATTTCTGAACATCGCTTTCCAAGCTAAAAATCTTTTTGACCCTTAATTTGAGCTCGTGCAGGGTCAAACTAATTATGTGAGCGGAGCGGTGGAGCTACAGTGGAGCAGTGGAGCTTTCTACAATCAGAGGGAATCTGAGTGCGTTTGACCAGAAAGGGAATGTGTTTGACCTCCTGGTGGCTTAAAAGCCTGCTAAGTGTGGGAAAGATAATGACAGGTTAGGAAATTACAATTGTCTGACATTATGGAACAGAGCAGCACTTTCCTCTGAGTAGCTCTTGACACAGTGAATATTTGAAAAGGCTGCAGTGTGGGATAATAAGAACTTGATAATGTGGATGTGCAGTTTTCTTATGCACTACATAATATACACGACACTGGTACTGACAACGAACAATCACACAGAAACTTTCCCGGTCCAGTCGTTTATCATTTCACATTTCGCCTTTACTTTGGTGTAGTGGTGCAGTCTTATTCCACTATTTCAGGTCTGGAATCATGACTCACCGGGGTCAAGTAAAAACAGATTACAAACGTAGACTCAGACCTAAACCATGCATCCTGAATTTGACCTTAGGGCCTGATAAAATTCATCTTTGGCGACACTCAATTCGTGTAGATTCAAATACTAAACACTTGGTTATTTGTCATGTATTTGCATTTTTCTGGTGTCACTGGTGTGAACACACACACTTAACAGTTACATTATCATGTTCGCCCACACATGCTGGAAACAGACGCACATGACTATTCTGTGAAGAAATGTCAGACACTATGCGATATATGGAAAGGTTTTCTCTGTATATCCAAGTGTGAGCGAGGCTCGGTTAAGCTTTTGATTTCAACACACAAAAGCAGAGTCTTAATCTGGAATTCTGCTCAACATGAGGGGTTTATGGAAGTCTCAGGTCCTGATTTATAGTCCTGTGAAGGATTTCTCCCGCTGATATCACCACCACAAAACTAAACAGGTGTGTCACACATTATAGGGTCATAATGTGCTTTAATTATATTCCTCACTAACTGTTACACTATCAGTCACTTCGTTAGATGTGTAACTGTAAAGGAGTGCTTGTTGGAGAAAACACAAGCAGCCAAAGCTGACCAATCACAGTTCTTGTTGTTTCCACATTGTATCTCCAATGCACCTGTGTAGACTCTGAAGCGCTTATGCTTCAGACAAGTACCTGCCATATGTAAGACTTCACTCCTTAACACACAAGTATAAATCAAGCTTTGCAGTGTGCAGAGTACAAAGCAATGCAAACTAAACTATTTTTGTTTTTGATAAACTTCAACCTATTTTAGGAGACAACTAAGACAGTCTTGTCACCTCTATCCTGCAAATAAAATTAATCTATTCTCACTTTTGTAACTTTAAGCTGCATTTATTCTTTCGAGAAGCAGGGTTGGTGTGAATAATGGGTGATGAATATCTGCTCTGAAAATTCAACCTTAACCCTATCCCCTGTACCATTTTGAAACTGTGATATTTTCTCACTAATGACATCTATTATCTATGAATGGCAGCTATTAGATAGATAGATAGATAGATAGATAGATAGATAGATAGATAGATAGATACTTTATTTATCCCCTAGGGGAAATTCATGTGTCCATTAGCTCATTGCTGATAATAATAAAAACAGTTAATTATAAAAAAAACAATAATAATTAGATTATTAAGTGTCTTGCTCAGACGTAATCTGTGAAAATAAATTAGTCATTATTTTCAGTTCACAGTGGCAACTACTTCCTGTAACAAATTGTGCAGCACTTCATTAATGAATGAAACTCACTGTTTACAACTATGAGTAAGAGGAAGTTAATTTTTAATTTGTTTCAAATAAAGGCTCTCAACATGTTTTTTGAATAAATATTTCACTTTGCAGAAAAAAGTAACAATTCTATAATAACGCTATAGTAATTTTCCTCACCTCAGGTTCCTCTTCATCCTGGTCCATCAGTTTCTCCAGGATCTTCTTCTTGTCCCCAGTCAGCTCCTCAGTCTCCCTCATCTCAAGCCCTCCTTCAATTCCTGCGGCAACTTCCCGGTATCTGGCCAACTCCCTGGCACCCAGGCCTTTCTGCTGTTTCCCTCCCCGAGAGTCCTCCTCTCCTCCCGCTGCTCCTCCATCATCCTGCCTGGGACGCTTCGCTCCTCTATCAGGCTGCGAGAGGAAAGGAGATGGTGAAATGTAATGATGTAAATACATATAGAAGTATGTTGTTGATTGAGAGATAAGTAATTAAGTGCATCATGAAATCACAAACATAAGCATCTCCATGTACCTGACAAGACAGAACTACACTAGCAGAGAAACTTAATAAGAAAACACTGCACTTCTGATGAATAATTTTGATCTGCTTTCTTTTCACATAAGTGCATCTTCCACTCAGCACCAATTGTACCAATATAAACAGCTGCTCTGAGGAAATGACAACTTTTAAGACCAGCTGCAAAAAAAGCAGTTTGAAATGATGTAAGAAAAGGAAGATTTTACTGAAATCAAATGTTATTTCGTGGATCGTTCATGTGCCGAATTTTCCAATGAATGCAAACGACTGTTAAAATGCATTTATTGAAATGGTGTGAAGTGTGTATATCTTGTATATTAAGCAAAACTGTATTAATTAGGAGAATGTTTAGTGGACGCTGGCATACAAGAAAAGAGACGTAACGGAACTGACAATGCTCCTCGGAGTTAGTGTACAAATGCATAAGTGTTTGTCTCAACACTTTCGTGTGAAATTAGTTTAGACACTAACAGCTAGCATGTGTATAAGTTAGTGTCGCAGCATCCCTCTCCATTCACTGCAGCCACGTTCAGCTATCATGCTAACTGCTAACGTTGTTGTAAACAAGGACTATAGTTGAGTTATTCTTCTGCCAAACGGGTGCTACACTATTCACTGGCGGTAAACTAAAGGACGTAAATAGACAAATAAAAATAAATAACGAGACTAAGCTAAAGTCTGCTTGCTAACGTTCAGAGGTACCCGCTAGCAATGCTACTGCATGCAATCCAATGAATGAGATAAGTTAATGTTAGCTAGACTAGAGTTTCCAAACACTGACGAGCATGGTTAAATTTCTACCTGATAGCTCAGGAGCTCTCCGACATCCATTTGTCTGGGTTAGAAGCTTTAACCGTGTCACCGTTTTGTTCAGGTTCAGGGTTAATGTCAGGGAATAAAACAAGAGTGACTACTTAGCTTGTCGGCTAACAACAAGCTTCCCACCACAAATTCATGCCTGCCGTAAAACGGTTGTGTTTATTGTCGTAGCAGCATACTGTCGTAAACTTTGTTACCCATGCTGTGATGTGATTACAGCCGTTAACTTCCCAATTCTGCAAAGCTGAGAAGAAATTGAGGTCCACTTGATAATGTTTACCCCTTGAGTCATGTCTACAATTTAATCAAGGTAATCTATTTGCATAAAGCTCGTTTTACAGATGTGCTTAAAGCGTGATTGCACATCTGATTTAAAACCTGAAATATTTCTGAGCAAAAACAAATTAAAAAAAACAGTTAATTCAGGACTGTTGGTGAGGTAGACTGGATGATAAAGATTTCACAAGAAGACACATGATTTTTACTAATGGCAAAACACACATTTATTTTAGGAAATGATTCAGTGATACACAAAGAGCCAGTCACTACAACACAGGACACAGGTTTTTAAATTTCATGCTGCTGAATTCAGCAGATAGGGAAATATTCTATGTTTTAGTAATTTTTTATTTTATTTTATTTTTTTAAGAAAACTATCATTACTTTGCAGATTAAGATTTTACATACAAAACCTATGAGAGACGTGTAAAATATGATGCACATTTTTTGACAATATAAAGAGCAGTTAAAATTAGCTTCACATCAACCAGCAACAGCAAGAAACATGTACATGTTAATGCAACAAAAATGATAGCCCAAATGTATATTATAGATTAACATGCTGGAATTGGTAATTCTGCAAAATGACGACTTTAACCTTTGAAATTTTGGTCAGTTTTGGTGATTGTACTTATTACTGTATTTACTTACTGTACTTGGTGTATTTTTACACCAGCAGTTATTTATACCAATAGCCTACTTTACGGCACTGGTAATGAATCTTAACAAAAATATGTTCTTTCCTCAAGAAGAATCCTTTAGGCTCTCTCACCAATCCCGTTATAAGCCCCCTCAATGATACAAGTAAAATTAGACATGACTGTTTCCTCATCAGACCTCGCTCATGAAATCCTGGTCTTAAAGGCTCAATTTTTCTGTATTCACACCAGCAGAGGTCTATATGCCAAGCTGGCTTATTGTTCCAGACAGGCAGAAAATCACCTTTTCAATGAGCATCACGGGGAAATATATGAGTGGTGCATGGTGTACAAGCCTGCATTGCCCCTCCAGTTTCTGTCCTGTGATCTGTGACAGTAGAGCAATAGAAAAAACATTTAAAAGGAAGGCCACTGCCAAGCAGTCAAGCTTGTCATCCCAGCAAACACGAGGGAGAGCACACTTGATCAAAGGGAAGAGAGAGAAACAGGGTGACAGAGAATAAAAGGGAGCAAGATGGGTGAAAAGAGAAATTTATATGGAAATCCCAAGGCTGGAGACAGCATGACAGTTGCAGATGAATACAAAGCCTTGATTGGGCAAATTAGAGGGAACTCTTTTTTCATGAGGTTAATAACTGGGTTAAGAATAAACAGACTCTTAATTTTACAAATCTCATATGTTGCATACTCATGGTCTGTCCGTATTTAATGAGGCAAATTAGGTCAGTTCAGACGAATATTTCTAAAATGATGTGCTGATGCTTAAAAATGAGTCATGATGGTGAGACAGACAGATGTGACACCAGGTTTATAATTAAACATATAGTGTTGCTGATGGATGGACAGGCAGCTGCTGTACGCTGCATGAATGTGGACAACTCTGGAAAATAAAAGACAAGGACTGTAGTGAAACATCAAGTAATAATCCATGCATGAGACGTACAATACAAATGTTTGTTTTTTTGAGAATCCATGAACAGGTGTTAAATTGGCACACAAGAAATTCCCAATTTTATTTGATCCAAATAAACCAGAACCATACGGCCTTATTATTGTAAAGCACTTTGTAGCTTTGGTAGGTAAGAAAGTTTTTCATGGAAAACATTTTGACATGTCACAGTAGGAAAAGCACAGGTTTTAATAATAAAATTAACCATGGCTGAATTCAATTCAACTGCCTCAGTTTCAGCAATATTGTGTGTGCTCACTCACTGTCACAGTGTAATGGCTCCATGCAGATATACTGCGGAGATAAATACCCTAAAATTTAAGAATAGTGGTGGAAAACAAAAGACTTTTATCTTTGACATACTGTAGTTTTTCAGGGAGCAGAACTGCAGATATTTGATGGATAGAGTGAAAATCTGCTTCATGTTTTATATCAAAACTGTGACACTACTGTGTTCAGTATTTAATAAAAAAAAAAATACAGACAGATACATAATCTTACGATTGTGAAATACTATCATAACAAAATGTCATTTCATCTTGTTTCTTTTCAAAATGAGTTTATTGTAGGTGATTTTTGACCAAAGCAACTTCATATTTATATCGAGTTTCCAATCTCAACAGATCAGACACAGTAAACATGGTATTTTAAAGTCAGTACTTCTAACTTAAAACTCAACACGATGAACAAGATAGTGTCTGTGACAAACAGCTGGGCAGACAAAATGTGTTATATATTTTATATAAACATGTCAAATACAGTTAATTAGCATCTTCAACCAGCTCCGGATCTCCTCCTCTGCTGAAGCTGCAGTGAAGCCTTCATTATTACAAATCCTTTTGGTTTTACACAATGATTAAGGCATTCCACAATCCCTGAAGGAGCGAAAAGCTTTTCATACACAACTGTCTGTTTAATGACATCGCCTCATCATTCCCCTGCAGAATTATTCTGGGGCGACGCTGTCGGATCATTTCCACAGAATCATACCCCATTTCCTTTGAAACAGAACAATACAATTTCACACAAGCTGTGAGGGCTGATTGCATTAAATCACATGAGGTCAGTGTGATTCTATCATGCAGCGGAGGCCCACATAAGTGTGCTCAAAATTCAGAGTGGCAATGTTGTTATTAAAGGAGAGACAGGGAGAGATGATGAGGACTGATTGTCCTTGTCATTTCCCCCTTCCCTAAGTCAAGTGGTGCAATCACATGATTTTCTCTCCTCTTAGATATGATTTGAGCTGTGCATGACATCAGCCTTCAGTCCTTCAAGGCGCGCTCCACCACCAGCACACAAATCAATAAAGTAGCTGAATTTCCACAACACTGATCAGATAGAAAAAATAGTCTGATGTATAATGGTATTCTATGGATGGACAGTGACCTAGACTTAAGGTCAAGATTGATAAGTAGTAGTAGTAGTAGTAGTAGTATTTATTTGTCCCCATGGGGAAATTGGTTTGCAGCATTTTCACAGGCATTTCACTCAAAAAAAAGAAAAAAAGAAAAAAACAACATACGATAAAGACAGCTTAGGACATACAACATGAAACATTCCACTTCACGCCTTGCAGCATTATTAAAAATATAATGGCTAAGATGGTCGCACCTGCTGCCCAGACCAGCTGGACAGTAGGTGCACAGTGAACAGCTAAGGTGCTTAATTGCTTGTGGTACAAATGAAAACTTTGACCTATTTTTGGTGAATGGGGGTGGACGGTGGGGGCGGACGATAGCATCGCCCGGACAGCAACAGTTCGAAAGATGGAGCAAGGGGTTGCTGCTGGTCACCCACAACGCTCTTTGCCTCTCTCAGAGTTCTCTCCCTGTAAATGTGTTCAAAAGTAGGCAGCGTGATCCGGAGCAGTTTACTTGCCATTAGTACAGTTTTTCTGACCAACTGTTTCTGTGCCTCAGTAGCGTTACCAAACCAGCAGATGATACAGAAGGTTACAACATTTTCAATAAAAGCACAGTAAAATATTTTCAGCATATTGTTATGCACGTTAAAAGACAGCAATTTCTTTAAAAATAATCACCAAGGTACTTGTATTGCGCGACGGCTTCTATTGGCTCCCCTCTGATGAGAGTAGGTTGATGGTTTTGGTTCTTTCTAAAGTCTATGGACATCTCCTTAGTTTTGGATGTATTCAGGAGAAGATTAGACTTCTCACACCAGTTTAGAAAGTAGTCTAAAACTGGCCCGTGCTCCTCCTCCTCATCATGTAAAAGGCTCAACTATGCTGTGTCGTCAGCATACTAAATAAAGTGCCTGTTAGTGAAAGTGCTGGTGCAGGAGTTGGTATATAAAATGAACAAAAGAGATGATAAAACACAGCCCTGAAGTGAAGTTGCACTGAAAAGTTGTTATATACTGCTACACTTACTGTTATATACTGTGTTCGTTATTTCTGTTTATGACAAGCTTTAATTTTGACTTTGAGGCATCAGCCTTAATATTTCAGCTGGGCCTTGAGAAATTACTTTTTTTTTTTTTTTACCTTGACAGTCTCATATTCATCTATTCATCAGTGAGTACACTGAGCACGTTTTAATCCCCATGACACAACTTAATTTATATGTCATGGAGCGAGAAGCTAAGAAAAGCAGTTGAAGGTCCTGATGGGGATTCTTTAAAGTGTAAAGAATATTTTAAAACTGAAGTATTAATATTTTCAGGGCTTTACCGTGGCATATGTAGACTTTCAATGAGAACAGCACAAAAATGAGCCGAGATTAAATCATTTTAACATGTAAAGAGACTGAATTATAGCTTCACTTGTGACATTTGTCTGCTGGATTTGTGTGTATAAATTGCGAAACAATATTTTTTACTACCTCAAAGTGTTTTATAATGATACTTTAAGAGCTTGTACTTAATATTGGTAATTTTTAATTTGGGTTCCTGGCAGCTTTATATGTTAAATTGACAAAAGGATAAGTCAGACTTATGGCTGAGTTTGTGCTGGAAAAAAGAAAAACATGTATATGGGTATACATATGTGACGTCACAGATCCGTTTTTACCAGCTAGCAGCTCACTCTCTCTCCCCTGCGTCTGTGTGTGTGCTCTGTAAGCGCATGTGGTGACATCACTCTTTGCAGTAGTGTGTGTCCTCAGTCCGACCAGAAAGGCAAACTTGACTGGCAGTGGAAAAGAGGTCAATCTGCTTTAATTAGTGCATTCACCCGACTTTAAAAAAACCCGCTCATACCTGCTAATTTTGGTGTAAAAAGGGTATAATTGT